TCTTTTGTTGTATGAATTGCACATGTGATATTTTTATTGTTAAGCACTGTACCGGAGCCGGCAAAAAAGCAAATTCACTGAACAATGTTCTGTTTTGTTATGTTATGTCATGTATGTGACAAATAAAACTAAAAATTAGAAATTTGCATCACCAAAATACTTTATATTCATATGCAATGATACCTCTGATTGACTTTGTTTATAGCTGTGTGTGTGTGTGTGTGTGTGTATGCATATGAATTTTGTTGATTTTTATTTGTTTTCGTAGTGTAATTGTCCTTTAATCTTATTTATTATTATTATTTTGTGTGTATGTGCGTTATACAACCCATGTGCTGAAAATGTTTTACCTGATTTCTTTCCATATCAATTTTTGTCAATATAAAAGCTGTGTGTGTTTAAGGTGTTCAGACATTAAAGTAACTAAATATCACACAACTTCAAGGCTTGAATATGTGTTTTTGTTTTGTTTTTAACTCTATGTTATGATATGACCATATGATGGTGACTGCTGGTTACTTCGTTTTGCAGCACATGAATTTAACATTTTTCAGACATAACAAAATTATGCATTTGGATTTTATTTGTTTTAAATGCAGCGTTATAATTAACATTGTTTTTTTACGCCGACATGGTTGTGACATAAAAGGGGCGGAACCTCCGCCGGCCAGCACTGTAGGCGACTGACGTCACCAGAAACGGCTAGCTACCCAGTTGTTTTGGAAGAAGAAGAAGAAAAAGGGTCACAAGCGGAAGAAACACCGGATTTGGGTTTTGGAGAGTATTCGATTTTTGGTCCTGCTCTATAGTTTGTTTTTTTAAATACATTTTGAATAATGTCGACGCCGGCAAGGAGACGGCTTATGAGAGATTTTAAAAGGTACCGCAACGTTTTGGCCATTTCTTCTGTTTAGTGTGTGTGTGTGCAGCTAGCGTAGTTAGCTTAGCGTTAGCTCCTGGTGCAGAGAATGCTGTTTTTAAAGCTTTGTCTTGGAGTTATTGTGGAATAAACTCCTTCGTTTGCATGTTGTGTCATCGTACGTGGCATTTGTAGGCTTGACAAATTGATTATTGTCTATTTTCAATTGCATTTTGACGATATCCGGTGAAGGCTCTTTGCTGTTATGCTACACAGGGAATAACGTCAGTCTGTGCTTTGTTTTTGTTGGTGGCTAGTTTGTTTGTTTGTTAGCTTAACGTCAGGTGCAAACTAGCAGCGGATAGCTGAGTTAGGTGAGGTGGCTTAACGTTAAATGTGGCTTTAAAAAAGATCCAACAAACCGGCTGTCTTGTCCTTGTCTGGCCCTGATTATTAGCTAAATATGATCCTAATTACTCTGTGCAGTCTGCAAGCTGTGTGTTTAAGTGGTGCTGTTCATAAAGGTAACATTAGCTAATTTCAACCAGTCAGCATTATGGTTTCAATGCCCCCCTTCTTCTTCTTGGCAGCAACGTGGCTCCCAGGTGTTGCACAACCCTGTGTGTGGGTCAATGGGTGCTTCATCTCAATATTTAAGGTGTCTTGACATGTGCCTGCCACCTCTTCTTAAAGCTTTATTATTATAAGTATATTTAAACAACCCCATATATCCCCTCTTGTGTAACTTATTATCACTTATTATCACAGGTGTGCTGTGAGGACGAGAATGTGTCTGGGTGTTGTGAGAGAGTCACACCTGCTTGTAATACCTGCCGTCCCCAATCTGTTGCCTGGCTCCATATGGCATCCTACCATGTTATTCTCAGACACATGCACAGACACATGCACACACCTGTCAGTGGAAAAGGAAAAAGATCCTAAGCTGTTCTACTAAGAACAGCCGTTGAAGCAGGGTGGATAAGGTGTCTGTAACTCTACTCTGCTCCCCAGGTGGTAAACCGTAACACACCGAGTTAAGAAAAACCCCACAATGGTGCATTCCTGGATCAGCCTTGTGTGATATTGTCTGTGCTCCCCTTGTTTGATCTTAAGTCAAATTTATTTGCACAATAAATATCTTGAAACTAAGCTCATTGCTTGAACAAGCCAAGAAGAGGTTTTAGTTCGGTACCTTTTGATGTGAAAAAATAACACTTTGTTGTTTAAGTGCTGCTCAAAAAACACCTGAAGTTCTTCAGATTATATTCAGCAAAGCAACCCTTTCATTTCCTCTCAGCAACCATCAGCTTACACTTCAATACTTTCTGTTTCTCTCTTCTTTCTATACTATTATTGCTCCTCACAGTACTTATGTGAGGGTTCAGCTTTATAATAGCATTTAGTTTGTTTTTATGTATCTCCAGATGTCTGGACTCACTAAACTAGCACACCGTAGTCAAACAAGTTGTATCTGAATGCCAGTTTCAGGTATGTTATTACGAACAGAAAGCATTCTGAGGCTGCAACTAGCAAGTCCATTTTGATAAGTAACCACATATATTCAGTTTTAAATGATATGAAAACAGACAAAAACACAAATCCACACATTGGTGAAGCCAATGAGAGAATGGTTAGCAGGTTTTTTTTTATTCATAAATTACTTGAATATCAAAATAATACCAATCGATTAATTGACTACTAGCTTCATATTTCTGTCAAAATGAACCATCACAGAGTGCCCTCACTGCCCCACTACTTCCCCTAATCTGCTGTCTGCAGAGCGATCAGTAATCCTCAGTTTCACAAGTCAAATGAAGTGACCACCAGTCTGTGTAGTGGTGGAGTTAAGTGGAGCCTCCTTCAGCTCAGGCAGATTACAGTAAATGAGGTTAATTGCAGTGAGTCTGTCTGAGGGACTCAGACTTACAAACCAGCCTGTGTTATAGCTCTAAGCGCTTATTAAACCAGCTTTCATACAGGGAGGGGGATTGTAGGCTGACATAGTCTGTGGTGGTTCTGGTCATGTGAAGCAATGAAGACACAATAATGTACTCTGAGTATCAGCAACGGGCCCGACAGACTAGATTATAGTCTATTCTGAGCACGCTGCCTTTGTTTGTCTTATAGGCTCCGCTGATCAATAGTTTAACAAACCAGCCGCTGTTTGTCGGAAACTTCATTTACAGGAAATGTTGACCTGCGACGTCTGTGTGTTTTAATTTGTTGACGTCTTTGTTGCTAGGTAGATGTTGTTGAGATAGCTTGTCAGTCAAACAGCTCGGGGCTGTTGTCTTTGTGGAGCTAATGATTATTGTCATGAATGATTAATCCATTCTTATTATTGTTGGTTATCCCATGATTGGTCATTTATGCAAGACAAATCCTCGTGTTTACAAATGGTCTTGGCTATTATTTCATCTAATTAAAAAAAACCCAAAAGTATGCATTTACTATTAAGGCCTATTTGAAACTGTGCCAAATATTTAAAGGTGCTCAAAGAGTATATCTCTCTATATCTCTATATATATCTCTCTCTCAACATGGAGCCGGCGGCTAGATGCTAACATTGCTAACAACGACAACAGTGCTGACAGTGTTTATCGGGGAGGGACTTAACTTTCAAGTCTTTATAAAGTTATTACCAACAATTTTGATTATCAATTAATCGTTTTAATCAAACCAAAAAGCCAGAAGTTTGCAGGTTCCAGTTTCTCCGATGTCTGGATTGTTTACTATTCTCTGTTTTTATACTACACGATTTTGGACTGTTGTGTTCAGACGAAACTAAACATTTTAAGAATTCACCTCTTGACAGTTTTCACCATTTTCTTACATGTGTTTGAGAAACGCGTCGATTAATCAGTAATGAAAGAAATTATCGTTACTTCTAAGCACCAAACTCTCATTTGTGAAACCAACATGTTAGCACTATGTTAGCTTAGCATAAATCAGTCATAAACACAGTCTCAGACACTTGAGTTTCCGGAGATTTCATGAACTGGGCTCCAGTTTCGGTCATCAGTGTTTCAGAGTAACAAAACACACATATTCATGAGAAACACCAGGGAGCCTCTCCTCTCTTTTTAGGGTTTGCTTGTCTGTAGTTAATCCGGATATCCAGAGGTGTTCTCAGGTGAAGTTGGACTCTCGTGGCTGAAGCCTTCAGGCCTCTGATCCTCTGGTCTGGGTTCAGCAGTGCTTCAGAATCAGATCCTGATCCCCTGGTCTGGGTACAGTAGTGCTTCAGAATCAGATCCTGATCCTCTGGTCTGGGTACAGTAGTGCTTCAGAATCAGATCCTGATCCACTGGTCTGGGTACAGTAGTGCTTCAGATGAGCAGTAATGGTGGCGCTCATGTTGACTGACATGTGACGGCAGGATGGCCAGAGTGATCCTGCAGGCCTGGCTGTCTACTGAAGTCATGTTGATATAGCAGCTCGTGGTTTGACTGATAATTATCCTGCAGTCAAGGTGTTAATTAAAATCCTCACGCTCTCTCCCCTCTGCCTCCCTCTTCTTTCTCCCCCGTTTTGTTTCCCATCTGTTTCCATTCTCATTTTCTTCTGTCTCTTTATCTGTTTCTCTTTTTTTGCTCCCCATCTTTTTGTCTTGTTTTGGTCTGCCTCTCTGCCTCTCTCTCTGTCTCTCTGCCTCTCTGCCTCTCTGTCTGCCTCTCTGTCTGCCTCTCTG